AACACTCCTCCACTGTGGGTGGCAGTGCAAACTTGTACAGCCACTTTGGAAATCAGTATGGCGATTTCTTAGAAAATTGGGAATCAGTCTACCCTAAGACCCAATAATACCACTCTTGAGCATATACCCAAGGGATGCTCAATCATACCACAAGAACACTTGCTCAACTATGTTCATAGCAGCATTATTGGTAATAACTGGAACCTGGAAACAACTTAGATACCCAAAACCAAAGAATGGATAAAGAAAATGTGGTACATATACACAATGGAGTAATACTCAGCTGTTAAAAAAAAAAAATGACATCATAAAATTTGCAGGCAAAGGCAGGCGGTGGTGACGCACGCCTTTAATCCCAGAACTCGGGAGGCAGAGGCAGGCGGATCTCCATGAGTTCAAGGCTAGCCTGGTCTCCAAAGCAAGTTTCAGGAAAGGTGCAAAGCTACACAGAGAAACCCTGTCTCGAAAAACAAAACAAACAAAAAAAAATTTGCAGGCAAATGGATGAAACTAGAAAATATCCTCCAGACTCAGAAAGACAAATATGGTATGTACTCACTCATAAGTGGATACTAGACGTAAAGCAAAGGATACCCAGACTACAACTCACTGCACCAGAGAGGCTAGCTAACAAGGAGGACCCTAAGAGGGACACATGGATCACACTCTGAAGGAGAGATAGATGAGATCTCCTGGGTAAACTGGGGGGCAGGGTGGGGTGGTACAGGGGAGGGGATGTGGGATGAGAACATGAGGGAATGGGATGGTCAAGCTGGGGGAGGGATGGAGTGGGAGAGCAATGAAAGAGATACCTTGATAGAGGAAGGCATTATGAGTTAAGGGAGAAACCTGGTGCTAGGGAAATTCACAGGACTCCACAAGGATGACCCAAGATTAGACTACTAGCAATAGTGGAGAGGGTGCCTGAACTGGCCTACCCCAGCAATCAGATTGATGAATATCCTGTCATGATACAACCTTCATCCAGTAACTGATGGAAGCAGATGCAGAGATCCACAGCGAAGCATCAAGATCATGATGGGGAAATCTGCAGAGATGACCAAACCAAACTAGTGGGAATTCATGCAGTTGGATCAATGGCTGTGGAGCCTGCATGGGACTGGGCTAGGCCCTCTGTTGTGTAGCTTGAGCTGCTGGGGGGCCCCCTGGCGGTAGAATCAGAATCCATGCCTGGTGCATGAGCGGGCTTTTTGGAGCCCACTACCTCTGATAGGACACCTCATGAAGCCTTGAGATGGGGGGGGGAGGGCTTGGACTTGCCTCTAATGGATGTGCCTCCCCATGGGAGGCCTTGCCTTCTTGTGGGGAGGAGTGGGGGTGGGTTGGGAGGGGAATGCTGGGAGAGAAAGGGAGGAGGGATGAGAGGGGGATCTATGGTTGGTATGTAAAATGAATTGAAACACTTTTTAAATAAAAAATTATGAGTTGGATGGTACCCAAATGAGGGAAGCTGAAGGACAAGGTGCACTTGAGACTCTGGCCTTCAAAGCCACCACACCCCACTTTCTCCCACCAACGTCATTTCCCAAGTGATATTTAAAAACACCTCTTGTACTAAAGACAGATATCAGTGGACATTCTCAAGTCATTTCAGTGTGTTTAAGTCAATCTGCAAGCATTTTGCAGAAAGTCATAGTTAACAGAAAAAAACACCAATGCAAAGCACCAACATAGGCCAGGGTGGGTTAGTACTGTGCTTATCAACCTTAACTCAGGATTCTAACACATCACCAGCAAGTGTTCTGGGTAAGTCATAATCTCTTTGAGCCCCAGGTTCCCTATTCATAAATGTCCACATCACCTGTCTCATTCTTCCCCCATACGATGCTGATGAAAAGAAAAATCTGTAAATTGTAGTACATACATAAGGAATCATTATGTATTTGGAAAGATAATTATAGTGAGTAAATTGCTATTGTATGGACAATAGAGTGCCTACTTCCCAAGAACTCTTCTTCTTCCTTGGACTGATAGTCCATCTCGGCTTTTGGCCACACGGGCCCCTTTCTCGGATTGAGCCTTCCCTCCTGCCTGTCTTATCACCACTGTCCACATATGAAGGACCGAGCAGAAATCTGTGCACGATAGTGTTTCACAAAAGCACCTGGGGCTTAGCCTGCACCCTCAGGCTTGTCTCAGATGTTGTGTGCCAGGCTTGGATCCAAGGAACCAAGTCCAAGACCTAACGGATATGTTTAAGCTATTCCGAAGACAGCAGTCAGCACAAGATGAATATGTGTCGGTATTTGATTCACAGTTCTGAACTAAATGGAAAAGAGATTGTGCACATCGTAGTACCAAGGGAGTATTCCCAGCTACTTTTCATCCAGCTGGGATTCTGAGTTCCCTCACCCTTCTTACCCACAGCAGGTGGGAAACCAATGGGTACTGAAGTTACCTCACTTTCAGGAGTGGAAGAGCTGTGGAAGCAAGTGTGCACCATATTAGTGGTTCCTTCTAGGTCCATTCGTTCAGTTGTCTGACAAACAGTTATGAAGCATCTGCCATGTTAGATACACTAACATAGAGTTAATAAATGGACAAAATAGATCTTCTTCCAAAAAAAATCCTGAGGAAAAATGTTTGTTCCTGAACTGGAAGGAAACACAAATAATAAACACGAAATGGGAGCAGAAGGGTCATAGCACAACAATGATGGTCAGGGTGTTGTTTCTCTTGTTAATCATCTTCTTTTATTCCCTTGAGCAATTTACAAGCTATCTCCACTACTTCCGTTACTACTCAGGTCTGGACTTGGTTTCTGCCCATTCTTTCCAAAGTCACTAGGGATTTCCCTTCTGCAAACCCTGCTGGCATTATCACCACAACCTGCAGTAGTTTGAAATTTTAATTTCCCCAAAGGCCCAGGTCTTGAAGGCTTTGGCGCTGTGGTGGTGTTACCAGAGACCAAAGCCATGGAACAAGGAGATTCCAACAAACCAGATCAGCAATTCTCTCCCAAACCAAATAGAAATAATGATTAGATCAGTGTCTCATTCACTCATCATCAGAGAGGCTTCCTCCTGCAGCAAATGGGAACAAACACAGAGTCCCACAGCCACACCTTATGCAGAGAGACAGATCTTGGAACACACAGTTCTAAATATGATGTCTCCATCAAATCATCCCCCTGAGAGCTCAGGGAACCCCAAGGAAGAGGGGACAGGAGTGGGGGAGACAGAGGAAACCATGAGCACAAGGCCCTCTAAAACCACTGAGCAAAGCTCATATGAACCCAGAGACTGAAGCAGCAATCACAGGGCCTTACACCAGTGGGCACCAGGTCCTCTCCATAATCCTATAGCTTTCAGTTTAGTATTTTTACGGGACTTCTGAAAGTGTGAACGAATGGGACTCTGATTCTTGTGCTGTCTCTTGAGTTTTTTTTTTTATTTTTCTGATGCTTTGGATTATCTAACTTTGATAGATAGTTTTTGTTTAGCCTCACTGTATTTTACTGTTATGTTTGTTGTTATCTCTTAGAAGCTTGTTCTTTTCTAATGAGAGACAGAAAGGGAGTGGATCTGGATGGAAGCAGACACAGAGATTCACAGCCAAGCTCCAGGTCAAGCTCCAGGAATCCAGCCAGAAGGGGAGGAGGGACTGTCTGAGTAAGGAGGGTCAAGATCGTGATGGGGAGGTCTGCAGAGACAACTGAACCAAGCTCGTGGGAATTCACGAACTCTAGAGAGAGCTGTGGAGCCTGCGTGGGACCTAACTGGGCCTGCTGCATGTGGGAAACAGCTGTGTAGCTTGGTCTGTTTGAGGGACCCCTGGCAGTGGGATTAGGATCTATTCCTGGTGCATGAGTTGGCTGTCTGGAGCCCACTCCCTTTGCTGGGATGCCTTGCTCAGCCTTGATGAAGGAGCCTGGTCCTGCCTCAACTGAATGTACCAGGCTTTGTAGACTCCCCATGGGAGGCCTTACCCTTTTGGAGGAGTGGATGAGGGTGGGTTGGGGTTGGAGAGGTGGCAGGGAGAGCAGGAGGAGTGATGGGAGGGGGAATTGTGGCTGATGTGTAAAATGAATAAAAAATTTTAAAAAAATATAACTTGGTGAAATCCAGCTGCTCTCACAGTCCAATGCGTCTTAGTAGATACTGCTTCTTTCTCAGCAGTCAAAAAGTTCAAAGACAACACAATATACAGTATCCACACGCTCCATGTATTTTTCATCTTTATTCCGTTTTTTAAGGACTTTATTTTAAAACTATATATTTTTTTAAATCTAAAACTGTAAGTATTTTTCCTCTTCTCACTCCTGAGCACATTTTAGAAAGCGTAGTGTGACCCTTTTAGAGGCTCTCTTTGTCTGAATCTGTCCTTACTGTGCATCTGTAACCTTTTTTGTCTGCATGAGCAAAGCCCAGACTGTTGTGGAACTTAGATCGAGGTGTGCCGGTGGCTGGCTGCTCGCCCCCTTGGTTCCCTGAGAACTTGGCCTCACTGTGGAGGCTATGTGGGAGCCGTGTTTACTGCACCAACTCTGGGGAGTTTTGGGTCCACGCTGCCACTGAACAGTGAGCTGCCCACTGCTCATAAACCCATTTAAGTGGTCGGCAGCCGGGCCTCAGAAGAGCTGCACAGTTTTTGCCGCTAATGCTGAGTCAGGAAACTGTCTCTTAAAGGAGCTGTGCCCCCCCCCCCCTCGCTGCTAAAAAGCAGAGCCTACCCAAGAAAAAGTGGTTATGAAGAAGCTGAGTTTTACTCCGTTCATGTATGCCTAGAATCCCTTTCCAAGTTGAGGAAATTCAGGCCCCACACTGGGTGCCATTTGTAGGCAGAAAATTCTTTCCCATCCACCAGTTCCCAAATAATCGACAACGAAACTTTTTTTAAAATTTATTTTAATTTTTATTTTTATTATTAAGAATTTTTCTATTCATTTTTACATACTAACCACAGATCCCCCTCTCCTCCCTCCCATCAGCCTTCCTCCCCAACCCACCCCCCATTCCCACCTCCTCCAAGTCAAGGCCTCCCATGGGGAGTCAGCAGAGCCTGTAGACATTCAGTTGAGGCAGGTCCAAGTCCCTCCCCCTGCACCAAGGCTGAGCAAGGTGTCCCACCATAGGCACTGGGCTCCCAAAAAAGCCCAATCATGCACCAGGGATGGATCCTGATCTCACTGCCTGCCTCTGTGTGTGTGTGTGTGTGTGTGTGTGTGTGTGTGTGTGTGTGTGTGTGTGTATGTCTTTTCATGGCTCATGCCTCCCATGCAGCCTGTGGAGGTCCAGCAGGGGCTGCTTCTAGGTCAACTAGATCTGGAAACAGAATGAGTTTAGTCAGGAGACATGGATGAGGTTTTGACAAAGTTTTTTTTTTTTTTTTTTTAAACATTTGATGTTCCCCAGAAGGATCCAGGTGACCACCCTAGGTCCCATCCCTGCTACCTCGTGTTCTGGGAAAGTTTCTTCTGGTTTTATTCTTTTTCTGTGTCTTGTCTCAAGCTGGGACGAGCACTTCTTAGGGCACTGAGCTCTTCGCTCTTGGGGCAGTTCTCCTGCTTGAACAGCTGGTCACCAGCAACCTTCACATCTGCTCCCTAGTAAAAGGACCAAATCAGATGATGTATTAAACTAAGTCTCACATGACTGTCTTTCTAAGAATGTTCCTAAGAAGTGCAGCAGAGTATGCTGAGAAATGAATCCATCATACATGGCTATGATGACTTCTGATTTTTTTTCATTTACAAAATTGACTTTGGAAATTAGGTTGAGTAATTGGGTTAGTTTATGGGAGAAAATACATAAGACTTTTTTTTTTTTTTTTTTTTTTTTTTTTTTTTTTTTTTTTTTTTGGTTTTTCGAGACAGGGTTTCTCTGTGTAGCTTTGCACCTTTTCCTGGAACTCACTTGGTAGCCCAGGCTGGCCTCAAACTCACAGAGATCCGCCTGGCCCTGCCTCCCGAGTGCTGGGATTAAAGGCATGCACCACCACCGCCCAGCCACATAAGACATTTCTTTAACTCAAGTCTCAAGGCAACTAAGGTAAATGAAGGAACTTCATACACATGGCCATGGTGTGTCTCTTGGGATATCAGTAGTTGTTTTAACCTAAATTCACAATCTCACTGCCAGACGGTAGATTTGAAACAGTGGGGAGCTAGACAAGGACAATCAGTCAGTATGTACGGAGTTCTATTCTGCAGTGTGTCCTTAGAAAGTCATTCCAGAATGCATACGGCATCTGCACTTCCTTGACTGGACCTGCAATATGGAGAAAACACTCTTAGGCCCAGATCACACTGAGTTATGTTTGCCCAGGTCTTTGGTTTTTCCTGTGACTTAGGACAGTTGTAAACAGGACTGGGAAGAACAGCCAATTGAAGATTCTATATTAGTCTGTTATGTGATTCTCTTACAAAACACCCAAGGCTGGGTCCTGTGTGAAAAAAAAGCATATTTTACACCTTTGCCTGTTTAGTCTACATCAGGCAAACTCACCCTTTGTTCTCTACTAAGGGCTTCCTCAAAGCTTCTTTGAAATGTGGCAGAGAAACATTATGAGAATCGGTATTGTGAGATGATTCTCTTCTAAGGGGATGGCAGTGTGGTCTAGAGGAAGAGACCCAGTCCATCTTTGAGCCCACTGAATGCCTCACCCTGTGTCTTACAATGCATTCCTTCAGTAACTGATCACCTGCTGTGTGGATAGAGCATGGACAAGGCAGGGACAGATGCTGCCAGCCCAGGGCACAAACTCCAGGGAGACAACAGACAACAAAGAGTAAGCACAGCCATGATGAGCTGAGTGCGGTCTCCAGAATCCACACGGTGGGAGGAGAGAACCACCTCCTTCCTAGAAGTTGCCCTCTGACTCCACAAGCATTCTGTGTCACCTCTGATCCCACACTCACAAATATCACAAGAATTGCAAACACACGTAAGAATGAAAACCAACTAAGAAGATGGGCTGGTGAGATGGCTCAGGGGGTAAAGGTGCTTGCTGCCAAGAATGACGGCCTGAGTTTGATCTCTAAGACCTGCACAGTGGGAGGTGAGAACCAACTCCTTTCCTACAAGCTGCCCTCTCACCAATAAACAAGTGCTATGACATGCATGTACACACACACACACACACACACACACACACACTAAATATAGAGATTAAAATAATAAATAAGAATAAAGAGATAGAGTGTGGGGAGCCATTCTTTAGGACAAACATTCTGTTCCTCGTTTTTCTTCTGATCTTCCCTTGATTTCCTTTCTCCAGCTATGAGGATAGTCCTGCAAAAGTCTGGGGCCAGTGAGATGGTTCAGCAGGTAAAGGTGCTTCTCACCAAGCCTGAGGGCCTGAGTCCAGACTCCCGAACCCACAGCATGGAGAGCTGACCCCAACAGGTTGGCCTCTGGCTTCTCACATGTGTGTGGTGACATGGGCATGCTTATACATAAATAAATAAGTGGAATTTTAGAAAGAAAAGCCTTCTGACTTAGAAGTGGTAACAGGTAAACTGGAAAGGAAAGCACTGGGCCACTCTGGTAGCTGTTTTCCAAACAAGCTGAACTGTTTCACCCTCCCATTGGCAGTGCCCTAGGAATCTGAACTGTCAATACTTCAAGGAAGGCAAACACCTCAGGCCTCTCCGTGGAACTGACATCATACATGGCCACCTGGCAGACTGGACCTGAGCACTTTGGTCTCAGGATCCCCTGAGTTCTTATCTAGTGGCAGATAATTTCAGAAATGTGAACTGAAAGGCTGAAGCGTCGTCTGCAGAGAACCTCAGGGCTTCACAGGATGCATAGGTGAAGGCTGGCATCTGGAGAGAGGTGGGTCTGCTCATTACAGAAGTCACTGTGTGCTTCCGAGTTAAACAGAGGATCATTTACAACTCAGACTCACAAACAGCCTGAAAGAGTTACCCCCAGGCCCAGGCATCTTATTTCTATTAGGAAACTCTTCCTAAACCAAAAGCTGAGCTAAAGGAATAACATCAGCGTGGGTACCAGGGCTCCTGCAGGTATGTGTTTGTCCACCTCTGGCTTCCCTTTTTCTTATGTAAAAAGTGATCAACTAGGTAACACTAATGAATATAAAGAGGCATATTTTTTTTTAACCAAGGCAGATCTTTGCTATGTTGTGTGAAGGCCAGAGGTCATGGTTGCATGGGTTCACCTTGTTTTCTGAGATGGCCTGGAGTTCAGCAAACATCTGCCTGTCTTCTCATCCCCAGCCCTGGTAGTAAAGGCATGTGCCACCACGCCTGGCCTTTTCCAGACCTGGTATTTTTACACAGATTCTGGGGAACCATGCTTGTGGGACAAGTACTTTACCAGGTGAGCAATCTCGCCAAACTACAAGACAGATTCAATCTAGGACAGAACTTTATTGCTAGTTTATTTTTATGTATAACTTAGTTGACAACTTCCTTCTGGAAAGAAATTATGATGCCTGATAAAAATGCTTACACATTTTCCTGATAACCTCTGAGGGGCTTAAACTCCGGCTCCTCCTGACTCATCTCCTGAATGCTTGGATTACAGGCCCACACCACTGTGCCTGGCATCACGCGTTACTGAATGCTGCGGCCAGCTGCACTCTACACAGGGTCCTTTGAAGAATGTGCCCACCCAACTTAACTCACAGTGCATATCTGACAGATATTTGGTGTTCAAGTATGGCATTGTGCACTTAATCTTAAAACTAAACTAGTTAATGTGTGCTGTATCTAGCAATGATTAAACTCCCAGGACAGTGTAGAGCTGCGCATAAGGCTATTAGACTTTGAGTTTATTTTACTCTTGGACTCTGATTCACCCAGGGGCTGAAGAAGATATTTGGTTATACTATAACCAGTGTCAAGGAGCCACAGTAATAGAAAGCAATGAGGATGATAAATTGAGGTCAACGACATAGAAAGTCCCCAGCACTTTAGATAAAATCAACAGGAAGAGCAGAAGGTCTTTTGTTAGAGAAAGTATCTACTTTGCTGCATTATTTCACACCACTTACACCCCAAACTTCTCACACTGAAGACAGTCTGAAATGTCCCCAGTAAAATATGCATCTCCTAGAAAAGCATCCATTCACCGAAATCATTTTACTTCTGCACAAAGATGGCTCACCTTGGGATGCTGCCAGCCCTACACTACCCTTCATGTGTGGAGATCAAGTCAGGGCCTCCAGCCAATGACTATAGACTCAGTTACCCTCCTCCTCCTTCCCAAAATCTCACAAATCCCAGTGTTTCCTTTTCCACACTCTGGCTTTACCACGAGAATTAGTCCCTCAAAGAAGTATGGCAGGGTGTACATTTTTGTTTTTTGTTTGTTTGTTTGTTTTTTGTTTGTTTGTTTTAAGACAGGGTCTCCCTGTGCATACCTGGCTGTCTGGGAACTGGCTATGGAGATCAGGTTGGACTCGAACTCACAGAGATCCTCCTGTGTCTACCTCCCAAGTGTTGGGACTAAAGGCGTGTGCCACCATGCCCTGTCTGTTGTTATTGTTTAGACAAGGTCTCACTAGGTAGTCCCGGCTGTCCTGGAATTTTTTTTTTTTTTTTTTTTCGAGACAGAGTTTCTCTGTGTAGCTTTGCGCCTTTCCTGGATCTCGCTCTGTAGACCAGGCTGGCCTCGAACTCACAAAGATCCACCTGCCTCTGCCTCCCAAGTGCTGGGATTAAAGGCGTGCACCACCACCGCCCGGCTGGAATTTTTTATATAGACCAGGCTGACCTAAAATTTGTGATGACCCTCTTGTCTTTCACCTCCCAAGTACTGGGCTTACAAAGTGCATGCTGCCACAGCAGCAGAGTTTGTGGGTTTTTACCCAGTGCTAGAGACTGAACCAGGATCTCGACACACTAGGTAAGTGCTCTACCACTGAGCTATCCCCCAGCCCTTGCCCTTTTTAACATCTTCCTATGTTGGTCCTGACTGGATGTTTAGCCCAGGCTGGCCTTGAGCTCATAGCAATTCTCCTGTCTTAGCCTCCAGAGTACTGGGATTACAGGAATGCCCTGTTACACCGGCTTCAGGGAACAACCTTGTGCTTGCACATCTCTGCTCCTGTCTATGGTCATCTAGAATTATCTCTTTCATATTTCACTTTAGTTTTCTCTGCTGAGAAGATAACAAGCTACTTGGAAAAAAAATTGTTTGAAAGTTATCGCTAAATTGGTTTCTAGGGGCTGAAAGGTAGCTCCGTGATAAAAGATACTTACCACCAAGACTGATGACCGGTCAAATTCAATTCCAAGAACCCATATGCCTAACCTCTCCTGCCTCAGCTGGAACAATTTGTCCAAAACACGTAGAATTCACAGACCTAGGAATGTTCACACCAACTAAGCAATCAGACACGTCTCCTATAGGCTGGCCTGGCTTCCAGGTGATGGCCAACCTGAGGTAAAGAGCCAGTCTGGAGAGAGGCAGAGAAGGAAACAGCTAAGGATCTTTGAGCCTTGCTTCAGTCATTCCTGGGGCCAGCTCCACCCTGCCTTTCCTAGTAATATGAGTCAATAAATTCCTCGTTGGGTGTTGAGTTCCTCTTCCTCAGAACTCTAATCAGAGACCGTCCTTTCTGAAACATGCCCTG